TTGTGGTAAGAAAGACAGTCGATGCAAAAGCAGCAAAAACATGTACTACGAAATAGGCAGGCAGTTATGAAACTTGCGCTTAGTGAGTCCGAAACCATATTTTTACCATTGTAACCCCTAGCGCATATTCCCACAGGTTAGATCCGAGCTACTCCCTAGGAAGCCCGGTGTATGCATGGGGACGAGGTAGCTTGTGGTACGCGTAGGTGGGCTGCTTAGCTCTGTCGATCCCCGCGTTCCCTCCACCTTCGATCGTCTTGACACTATCTTGTCATCGGGGCAAGGTGGATAAGGAAGGAGAGAGTGTGGTAGAGGCAGCGCAAGTCTAACATAATCTAAAACTAGACCTCGCGCGTCACCGTCCCCGCGCAACAGTGCTGTGGAGCACACGGAAGACTTCGAGGGATAAGAAGATCGAACCGTCGCCGTTGTCATTGACAGAATGGGTACCGGCCATCCTTACTGGCACGCGATTAGGTCTGCGTCTTTATCTCCACGGTCGTTATGCGACTGCTTTCGTGGGAGATATACCAAGTCTCGCGACACAACGGAATGCGTATTCCCCGCTATTCGATCGACCATTATGCCCGAAATGAGCGTTCAGGTTTCCTTTGATCTCTTGCCTTTGTTGGTACTCATTTTGCTAAGGGTTCCTTATAACAACACCGTAGTTCACTATAACATAACTATCTGCTTATTTCGTTGTAGTTTATTATTTAGTTTATTTATTAGTTTACTATTTATTTTTAGTAGTTTTAGCTTAGTTTAACTTTTAGTTTAGTAAGTTTAGTTAGGTGTAGTTTAGTTATTTTAGTTTTATTTTTAGTTTACTTTAGTTTTTAGTTTATTATTTAGTTGTAATTTGATGTAGTTTTTCGTTTAGTTGGTTATATTATAGTAAACTAAAGTGTTGCCTATAAGGAACCCTTAACCTCATTTTAGCGTGGAGACTCAAACACTGTGACAGGAACTCCGTCCACCTGGCATCAGAGGCAGAGAAAGATAACGAAAACAGTAGTAACTAGTAATTAGTACGTCAGTGTCTGTACTGAAATGGCGACCATCCAGCCGCACAATCGCTCCGATTACGAACATCACCGATGGACGCGCTAAATAATACTTTTGCAGCTAGGTGATTGGCTAACGACTGCACCACTATCTTCAGCGTTCGAGTCTTCCTCTACTTGTAACGTTTCTAAGCGTGCTCATGAACCACAGCGTCGCGTTCGAAGCCTGGCTATTTCCAGTCTGAATTCAAGCGGTGGCTGATTCAGGACAGAGAACACGCCCGACTTGATAATTCCTTCCTCCTCCCCTCGAGCATCGTAGAATATTTCGTAGGCAGCCCTTTTAGCTAGGGTGATTCATTAATATAGTCGTCATGTTGTGCCGATGTTTGGGACTATGTGAGGCGTGAATGCTGCCGGGGCCTGCAGTTGCTGTAAATATAACCTGATCGAGTGCCTATTCATGAGTACTATCTAATGCAGTAGCTTACGAACTACTAACGACGTTCTGAAACGAGTTTTTGGTTTAAAAAGGTTAGTATTAAGTTTGGTTAGAAGATTTATTAGCCTTCAGCGTAATCGTTCTCGGCCCACAGGAATGCGCCATTTGAGAAAGCTTCCAACCCCAGCTGGAGTATTTTGTCTGCCATATTCACTATGTAACCTTGGTGTGGTGCAATGCGCGTGACAGCGCCAATCGAATTCACGATTACGTCAGTCACACGACTCGGCCTGTCATTGGCTCTTGACTGACGCAACAAAGGAGGGACGCTTGCTGACAAGGCAATTTCGTCAAAACAGCATAAGCAGTGTGGGATGGAATACGTATTCGTACTAAACTTGCCGCACACGGATCGAAGGAGTGCCTCAGACCAACTTACTTCGTCGTATAGCTAGTGAGAGACGAGGCCATTTAGCCATTGCGCCAAAGTTTCAAACAAAAAACAGACTTCTGGGGAGATGGTGAGGAAGCCTAGATGTACGATACTGTTATCGGTCTGATCTAACCCTGTGCGTGTAGGTGGCCTTCGCGACGGGCAGCGCCGCAGATGAGTTGGACACAAGCTAGGGTGTTAGTTTAACTCACGGCGCAAGTTTATCGAGCCGCGGTGAGTTCACGCGCGCCTATTGGCGTATATGCGTGTTTGTGTGTGTGACGCATCCGAGATTTGGATGTAAATGTTACACCAAACACTTTTCTCATCTCCATCGCTAGTTGGGGTTATATGGGTGAGGCATAACGGGGGGCAGTAGTCATATCAAAAATATAGCCTTCCAAAGTAGATAGATAGTAGATAGAAATGTTATCAGTATCAGTATCAATTTATTGAGGGAAAGATAGGCGAACGATTTTGAACTCCCTAATGGTAAC